GAAGAAGTGAACATGAAAAAAGTGAACTATCGGTCAAATATAACTGGATTGGTCAAACTGTTAAAGGAGACAAAATTTACAAGTGGCCAATTGAAGTGCCTTAGAAAAACACTGTTCTGGCCATTATTTGATAGCTTGATCAGTAACGAAATCGACCTCAACCACTGCATGAAATATGATGATGTCATTGTACGTATAGTACAAACATTCAAGCAATCTAGTGGAAGGTTTTACATTGGGGATAAGAACATCCAGATTTTTAGAAGCGACGTATCACTGATTTTTGGGGTGGACTGCGGCACCAAGTCGATGGACCTCTCTTATGGTGCAAAACCAACAACCGGCATCATACACCGAATGTGCAAGGATGTTAGTCGGTTAAGTGCTGCCAAAATACGAGAAATTCTGAGGGAAGCATTGAAGGCACAAAAAAACATGACGATGAGGAGGTCGCAAGGTTAGTTTGCATGTATGCATGCGTCAAGCTATTCTTTTCTACATCCGGAGAAACAATTGGATGGGTTTTCTACTCATACATGGACCCATTGCACAAGATGATTGAGTATGATTGGGCTGAGAGCATCCGGGCAACCTTGATGGGTTCATTGGGCCAAAACTGTGGAAAACCAGAACGAGTCACCGGATGTGTGATGTTGTTAATGGTAAATCAAATCTCATAAAACTTATTCTATGTTTAATATGAACATATACGGGCTCTGAACACTCTGATGTGAATGTTCACATTTCTCAGCTTTGGTGTGGAAGTTGACAACATTGATGAAAACATTCGCATTACTGTTTCAGTAATGTACAAACACACATTAGTAGATGCTGGTGTAAACATTCACATTAACAGATGTGAACATTCACATCAGTTGTACCACTCACATTACCAGATGTGAATATTCACATCAGTAACATCACTCACCATTAGCAAAATGTGAGCATTCACATAGTAATAACACTGACATGAACAGATGTGAACATTCACATCAGTATCATCACCCACCATTAGCAAATGTGAACATTCACATCAGTAATAGCACTGACACTAACAGTTGTGAACATTCAGGTCAGTAAGATCACTCACATTAACAGTTGTGAACACTCACATCAGTAGTATCACTCAACATTAGGAAATGTGAACATTCACATCAGTAACATTACTCCACATTACAAATGTGAACATTCACATCAACGGATGTGAACATTCACATCAGTTTTAAGTGATGTAAACATTCACATTACTGGCCTAGTGGTGCACTGTGAACATTCACATTGCTGCACCAGTGGTGTAAACATTCACATCAATCTTAATTCATATGAACATTCAAATTATAACTGTTAATTCACATCAATGTTAATTCATATGAACATTACTAGCCTAGTGGTGCACTGTGAACATTCACATTACTGCACCAGTGGTGTAAACATTCACATCAATGTCAATTCATATGAACATTCACATCAGTTTTAAGTGATGTAAACATTCACATTACTGGCCTAGTGGTGCACTGTGAACATTCACATTATTGCACCAGTGGTGTAAACATTCACATCAATGTTAAATCATATGAACATTCAAATTACTGATATTTGTTATTTGTTTCAGTATTGGCTGTGTGAGCATACAACAATCTTACAACCCCGCAACCCCAATGCCATTCCCGATTTACGTCTAGATCAACTCACAGCCTTACATAGCAACATGAAGTCCATAACTCTGGCTAAGCTAGGTTTAAATGAGGTAGAAGGACAACCAAATATATTGTGCTTATTCAAATAGTGCGACGAGGAACTATCTAACTAACATACTGTCTCGAAATGCAGGTATATGGCGGCGAGCTAATGGCATCACCAACTGAAGCGAAGATTTATCGTCACACAAAATTGAATGTGGAGTCAAGTGCAGTAGCAAAAAAAGATGAAAGCAATGAGGATCAAAGCAAAGACAGTCAACGCAGTGATGACAGGGATGCATTTTCTGT